CATTTAAACCAAACGTGCGTTTTGCATTTGTGACATAACAGAGATTTGCGACAGAAGAGAAACGCACGACTTGGCAGTTAAAAAAAGAGGAATTCTTTTTCGATGATTACGAACGCATTTACGAGTCAACTGTTTAGAATGTGGGTTCGTATAAACACAATCTGGAAGTTTGGATGCACTGCCTAATGGACCGAGCTGACGTGCACCTCTGAGCGCGCCAATAACCTGCAGCCGAACGCCACGCCGTTGTTTGGGAAACACGGGTGTCTGCGAGAGCAAACATCTCCCCTTTCGGGATGACAAATACAGGCCAGAGAATTAATCATGATGTTTTGAGGACGGTGGCGGCGGCGCGTGTTGGAGAGGAGGGAAGGTGGGGGAGGGGGGAGCAGACGGGAGCAGAGAGGGCGGAACGAGAAGCGCACGAGGTGCAGGGAGATGAGGGGCACTAGAAACTAGAAGTGAATCGCAGGGTCTGCTAGGCTCGCTACACTCGTCTAGAGATAGAAAACGGGGCGAACGCGAGACAGAGAGATAGACAGAGAGAGCGAGAGAGAGATAGGGGGGGGGGGGGGGGGGGGGCGCTCCCTCCTCCGACGCGCAACATTGGCTTTGGGGGAAGCACCAGATTAGGCACGGCCAGAGCGTGACGAAGGGGAGACTTTTCAATACCTGGCGCTTGCATAACAAGCACGAACAAAAACGACACAAAATTACACAAATCAATTAATATTTTCAAACACGAAGTAAAAAGCAGATGAGTGGCTATTCCGTTGTTTGTGTAGTTTTTGTTTCTGATATGTTTCTTTTGTTTTGTTTTTTTCAGGGCTTCTATTATGTTGAACTCACAACAAGGCGAATTCACGAATTGTCCCCTTTTCTCCATATTATTTCTTCTCGAGAAAAAAGAAACTTCACAGCAGTAGCAAAAGCCAAAGAGGAGACGAGGCGACCCCCGAACGTGACGCCTGCCGGGGGAACGCACAAAACAACACGACATGATTGTGCAGAGATAAAAGGGCCGATTTCCCGAACCATGCGCC